CTATTTTCCCACTGGAATCATTCCATTGTGTCTGCATAGGGAATGCTCGGTATCTTTGACTGCTGACATTCATTCGTGTGCCTTTACTGTTCACAAGCTTATAAATTATTATAACTATAATAAGGATCAAATTATCAATCAACTTCATATACTCAGAGACGAAAACTACGTGTTGTTTTAGTTCGAGTGATAACAAAGGTAGACGAATTTTAAACTGTTTTTCGGTGAATTTTGGAATTAAAGTTTTCTCGTTTTTAGACTAAATACGAGGAAAGTTCATAGAATGCCGTTTGACACTGATCGATGTGGTTTATGTGACGAAGTGTTTGATAAAAAGCGACGATTTTTATTGAAAAATTCTCAGAATCTATTCAATTTCATTACAGATCTCTACTATTCATTACTTCAAAAGCAGCTTTCCAGTGATGTGGTGATTTGTGCAACATGTTATACAAGACATTCTAAAAGTTTAAGGTCTGCCAATGATTCTCATGTCGGTGCTCATGGTAAAGTAGAATCCATGGACTATGAAAATGTAATTGCCATCACAAGAAGCGAAGAAAAAGTCGATGCGTCAACTCAAACAGAAAAGATAGACTCACGAAATGTAAGTATCAATTGTACTTTAATGACAAAGAATATTTTTAGTGTTCCAATAACAATACCACCATATTCAAACAAGTATTGCATTATATGCAACGCAAATTTTTCTACTCAAAGAACGGTTACATTAACTGACAATGAAAGAATGAACACATTCAAATTCTATTTGATTTATCTACGCGGTGAATCACGTTGCTGTCGAAACCATTTAGAAAATAATTGTTTGAAATCTTCTGCTATTGAAACATTAAAACGGAATAATCCTCAAACAAGTTCCGTTACTTATGAATTGTTTTCGACGATGATTAAAGAAATTCAAATAGAACTGAAAAGAACTTCACAGAGCTTGCCAATATTTCAACCTCCACTAAACTTCGATGATCCATTAAAATACACGGATGAAGATTACAAAATACTCATCGGCATAGAAAAAAATCAATTTTTTGATTTATGTACACAAGTTACTATGCGCAATACCAATAATCGTTCGGTGGAGATGGCTATTGGTTGTTTATTAACTAAATTACGATTGGGGGTAAGCAATAAAGTCTTGAAAATCCTTTTCTCGTTTTCTTCTGATCGTTTAGTAGCACATATCAACCATAGTGCTTATGTGGCATTATTGCAATCATTTGTACCACAACATCTTGGGTTCCAGCATATATCACGAAACAATATTATCAAAAATCATACTCGATCATTGGCAAAAAATTTATTGGCAGATGGGAAAGATGTAGCTATATTGATCCTCGATGGTACTTACATATACTGCCAAAAAAGTGCTAACAATGTTTTACAACGTCGACTTTTCAGTCTTCATAAGAATCGTCCTCTGCTCAAGCCAATGATTATTTGTGCTACAGATGGATATATTATTTCAGCAGTCGGACCATACCTTTCAGATTGGTACAATAATGATGCATCGATAACTAAACATATTTTATTGAGTAATAAAGAAGAAATTCACGATTGGCTTGTTGAAAAAGACATAATGATCGTCGACAGAGGATTTCGTGATTGTTTGGATCTTGTTAATTCCTTTGGTTATACAACATTTATGCCTCTATTTCTACCAAAATCAAAGAAGTTTAGTACCAGTGAAGCGAACAGCAATCGATTTGTTACCGTACTGCGTTGGGTAGTAGAGTCCGTAAATGGACGTATTAAAACATTTAAATTTTTCGATCATGTTGTGCAAAACTCATCTCTTCCTTACGTTCATGGTTATCTTTCAATCGTATGTGCAATAATTAATGCTTATCGTCCGACATTTATTACTGATACCTCAAACGACGATAACTTATCGAAAGCGTTTTTGGAGAAACGGAACAAACAAAATGAATTAGAAACAATATTGAACGACAAAGAACGAAATACGGCTCATAACTGGAAAAAAATTGATGGTCATGATTCTATTACAGATTTCCCCAAACTAACTGAAGCCGATTTAACAAATTTTACATTAGGTGTGTTTCAACTGAAGCAGGCTCGAAGTTATTCTTTAGAACATATTGCGGAAGATGGTCAATATGAGATTCACGTATGTAAACAGCAACTAAATTTACTTCGAGCCAAAATACAAAGTAAACATTCTAATCGAAAAGACTACCAAGTCCTCATTCAATACAATGATCAAACTGTGACAGCCGCTTGCTGTGGCTGCCCAAATGGCAACCAGAATATTGGCTGCTGCAGTCACATTGCAAGTATTGTATGGTATTTAGGAATTGCTCGACACGACAAGCTTAAATACTTAAATCAACGATCTTTATCGTACATGAACCTATTCGAAGATGCTGCAGATGTATCAGATGTATCATCTGATGAAGAGGATGATGATGAAACATTATATTCCCTCGTATGAAGACTAGGTAAGTGACATCTTCTTGGTAGTACTTTACATTATTTGGACTCTTCGCTGAAGTAAGAATTAAGAATTTCTTTCACCAACTACTTGCTACAGAAAATAACGCTGTGAAATAAAGACGACTTTTGCTGGCTGTTTCTTACTCTACTCTGAGCACCTATTTTGAAAGTAAGTATCAAAACTAAAAAAATCCTTCTTTTAAAGACCTTCGAAAAAAGTCCTTTTGATGAACACGATTTCCCTTGTTTTTGTTTATGAAAAATAATATGTATTTAGTATATGAAAAAATTCGTTTCGATTTATTAGTTATCTTATTTTACTTAGAGAAAAAATATCGTAAAAACCATTTCGCTATTTACTTTGGCCATAAAGGTTGGTTGTAGAAAATAGTGCAGTGGACAAAAAAAATATAAAAATTCCCATAAAAAATCATTACACTTTTTCGCTTCTTGAGATTTTCTTTTTCAACTGAATCAGGCAGCGGAAGCAGTGAATGAATAAAAAGAATCCTTTTCTAAATGGGCGGCCTTCTCGTGGCGAAAAGGGAACAACACTCTTTCATCATTTGACTAAAGGGTGGCCAACAGTCCATAAATCAAAGGTTCGTGAAATTATGAATTCCCACTCATCTAAAAATTAATCGCATTTTTTTCCTAATAAATCATGATCACTTTACATATTTTTCTGCTCGATTATATTTGAAAATGGAGGAACCTTTCTCCATGTAGGATGACCTCTTCGTGGTGAGAAAGATAAACGTGGTGCATTCAGCCATGGCCAACGATCCTACGAAAAAGTTCCATTGGAGGCAAACAATGCTTTTAACAACATATGAGTTGTTGTGGATGACTGTCCAATGAAACTTTCATAATAACAA